GGGGGCGGGGGCAGGCTAGGACCCCTTTGTGGGGTGAGGAGGGAACCAGTTGTTAAGATTTTGGCAGCTCGTTACTGGGGACAGGCGTGTCACCTTGAGTATGCGCCTAGCATCTTGGACAGGAATGTACTTTGGGAGGCTAGCCCCTCCTACCACTCACTCTGCTGTGACTAAACTATTTTTAGTGTGCTAGCTCAATCCGAGTGAGTGCAGGTAAGTCTCTGCATACTGGGAATCACACTCCCAGCTTGAAATGTAGGCATAACTTGAGATACAAAATAAAGTTAAATAAATGATAAAGTTGTAGCAGAAATGAAAGGTCTTTTTCTTAGAAGCTCTGAAGCATTCTGGTGGAATAAGGTACCAGGTGCTGGTCTTTAACATACATGTGTGTGGTCTTTCCAGTTGTTTTTGTAAAGTGTAGCCCTGGAGTCCTTCAATAAGTCAACAGCCTTGACTGTTTTTTGAACTAGAAGTCCAGGCCCTCAAAAGGAAGATCCTCCATGGTCATTGGCTGCACCTCTCGCAGGATTCCAGAACTGTGGAGTCAGGATACTCTCCTTAAAACAATGGCCTTTACTATGGGTCAAGAGGCAACAGCTGGAGCTGCCTGGATGGACATCTTTGATTTGATGGAGAGTTAATAGCAAAGATTTAAAACTCCTCTGTTCTCTTGTGGGAATTTGTCCATGTCCAAAATATTTATTGTAATTTTAAAGTCATATTCTACCCCTAATGCCTGATAATTTGCAATCTAGAATTGTGGGCTTATAGATGGGTAACTCAACCATCCAAACAAACTGAACCACTTAGATTGAGTCATCTGTGGCTGCTTTGTGCTCTTTCCATTAGCTACCACAGCCACTAGCAGTCCAGGTACCGGCTGCATGTATACTTTGCTCCAGTGGAAGGCAGCTGATAGCTCTTATCTGTTTTATAAGGTTGAAATTACCATCACTGGTGTTTGCCATATATTTAGGCAAATCTCCGTATTTGTAGATGGGAAATGCTAAATGGCCAGGCACAGAGGCAGGAAGAATATCCAAGAGCTCATGAGGTCTTTTGTACCTCCTCCAGGGTATATTGAGGGAATCAGCTACACATCTGCGGAGATCATAAAAGCTCTTGCCCACCTTGCTGCCACACTGTGCTGAAAAAGGACCAAAGATGGGTAGTGAAATAGCAGCTGCCCATACTCAGGTCTCTGTACTGGAGGCAACTGATTCTGATTGCTAAGACAGTGCCAAAGGTTTAAGACCATGCTCCCTCAGGGCTTCAGCAGTAGACAGATCAGGCTTTGGAGTCTTCTTGAATCAGGACCACTTTTAACTAGGAATTCCCAGTGGGCATTTGCCCCTGCTCTTCTCAGAGGAGAGATGCTTCTTTTATCTGAGGTTCTGAATCTTTGAAGATAGAGCCTGAGAGCTAATGGATCTGGAAGTCTGAGGCTAAGGTGAAAGTAACTGGGGGGAATCTGCCTTGTGCAGAGCAGTGGCCAGCCAACTGCGTGGAGCAGTCCTATAAAAACATTAAGGACATAGCTTCCTTCCCTTCAAAGGGAAAGGACTTGTACACCGAGTATGGATCAAGGAAAGGAGCTTCCCAAGACAAAAAGTGGTATTAAAATACCATTGTTAATCAGTATTGTTTCCTGATTATTGGAGGATTATTACAGGAGTGGCAATGCCTAAAATTTATGATTTAGTATGGGATATCCCTAAGACCTGGTACCAGCAGGCAGTTCTTGACCAATGAAAAAAAAATTTAAGGTAAACTACCAAAAACTTACCTGTGGGCAAACTATTCTGTCTAAACGGTACCAGTATAGACACAAGTTTTACACAAGGACTGTAGAAAGACTGTATTGAGACAGACACTAAGCAGTTCTCTTAAATGTGAGGAGGAACTGAATGATGGTTGGGCCCACACCCATTACTGGCCCTAATGCACATGCAGTCCCCAACAATACTGCTTTAATAAATAAATAAAAAACAAACAAAAACACACACACACCCCCCCACAGGAAGGGCACATTACACTCCACTGATGGGAAGTGAAATATTGGAACTATGGAACCAAAAATATTTCAGACTTTACTGTTTATTAAAATGTCTTCAAATGGAAAAATTAGTTTTTAATATCACATGGTTTTAGATTTTTACTTGATGAATGTAAGACTTTCAACCATTAGTAGGGAAAAAAATCTTTAATGTAAGAAAACATTATGGTGCATGACCACTAAGCTCACATATTACAACTTCTCAGAGGGTCAATTCCATAGCTACTGCTGCCTCTCCTGACCCTCAAGAGGCAATGTGTAACAACTATGTTTATTAATAAACAGTAAAGAAGAATATTTCATAATATTTAGGATTAGCATTGGGCTACAAGAGGAAGATGTGAGAGTTATGGTGCATCAACTGGGTTTAACATTTGTGAGATGTTAAATACTTGGTGATTAGAGAGGCTATAAAAACAGGTTTCAGAGTAACAGCCGTGTTAGTCTGAATTCGCAAAAAGAAAAGGAGGACTTGTGGCACCTTAGAGACTAACCAATTTATTTGAGCATAAGCTTTTGTGAGCTACAGCTCACTTCATCGGATGCATATGCATATGCATCCGATGAAGTGAGCTGTAGCTCACGAAAGCTTATGCTCAAATAAATTGGTTAGTCTCTAAGGTGCCACAAGTCCTCCTGTTCTTTTTATAAAAAGAGAAAACTCATAGGAGGTGATTTCAATTATTCCCATAGTGACTGGATACATGTCACCTCAGGACATGACGACGAGATAAAATTTCTAGACACCATGAATGACTGCTTCTTGAAGCAGTTACATCTGGTACCCACAAGAGGTAATTCTTGATTTAGTCTTAAGTGGCACACAAGCTCTAGTCCAAGAAGCGAATGTGGCTGAACCACTTGTTAACGGTGACCATGATGTAGCTAATAACAAAGAAGCCCACCACAGGAGCATTTTACTTCAAAAAGGGGAACTACACAAAAAATGAGGAAACTAGTTAAATAGAAATTAAAAGGAACAGTCAAGAGTGAAATGCCTGCAAGCTAACTTTTTAAAAACACAATAGAGGTTCAAATAAAATGTATACGCCATGTTAAAAGAAATTAGTAAAGGGGTCCAAAAAATGCCACCCTGGGTGACTGGACAAGAATACAGTAGATGAAATTCAATATTGATAAATGCAAAGTAATGCACACTGGAAAACAATCTGAAATATATATATACACAAAATGACAGGGTCTAAATTAGCTATTACAACTGAAGAAAGATCTTGGAGTCATGGACAGTTCTCTGAAACCATCCACTCAGTGTACAGCAGCAGTCAAAAAAAGCTAACACTGTTAGGAACCAGTAGGAAAGGGATAGTAAGTATTAAAATGCCAGTATATAAATCCACAGCACATCCACATCTTGAATACTGCATGTGGTTCTAGTTGCCGTCTCTCAATACTTAGAATTGGAAAAGGTACAGAGAAGGGCAACAAAAATGATTAGGGAAATTGAATAAGTTCCACAGGAGGAGAGATTAAAAAGAGTGGGACTGTTCATCTTGGAAAAGAGAAGACTGATGGGCTATATGACAGAGGTTTATAAAATCATGAATAGTGTGGAGGAAGTGTTATTTACCCCTTCACAAACACAAAAAGCAGGGGGTCACCTAACGAAATTAATAGGCAGCAGGTTTAAAACAAACAAAAGCAAGTACTTCACATAGTGCAATCATCCTATGGAGTTCATTGCCCAGGGATGTTGTGAAGGCCAAAAGCATAACTGGGTTCAAAAAAGAATTAGGTAAGTTCATGGAGGATAGGGCCATCAAGGCTATTGGCCAAGATGGTCAGGGATGCAACTGACTGCCAGATACTGGGACTGGATGATAGGGGATTGATCACTCAATTGCCTTATTCTGTTCATTCCCTCTGAAGCATCTGGCATCCGCCACTATCAGAAGACAGGACCCTGGTCTAGATGGACCACTAGTCTGACTCAGTGTGGTCATTCTTGTGTGTGAGATATGGGCCCACCAAAAGCAGAGATCCTTTCTCTTCACAGGAACTCATACATGTAGTGAGGATAGGTATCTTTTCTCTATTAGAACAGTGAAATTAAAGAGCTTGCAGGTAACTCTAATTTAAGAGACAGGACTAGATTATATAACTCCTCTATAGCTAAGGAGACACTTGCCTCAAAGGCTGATGCATCCAAATTCAATAGAAGTGTCTAGATATATGCTGTATCCAATTTAGTTAGCTAAAATACATTGTTTACTCCAACAGTCAGATGCCATTTCAGATACATACTGAGTGAATCACCTGCTCTCCTTTCCTAGGTCTATTTTTGTATTTCACTCCACAAAGTGAGGATCCTACAGAAAGGTATTTCACTAGCCAGATAATATAGCATGCACTGTGGCCACAAGTATGTGAATGATTATTATAATAATGAGGTCTTCCTACATAGCAGTTTATAATATTTGTATGGGGCCTCGCCCATGATACCTAAATACCAACTGTTTTTAATATGAAGATTTTGGGTTTAAAGTAACCTCACAGACAGCATTGCTGAAGACTTACACAAGGATATGAAAGTTGACCATCTAGCCACAGAGCAAGATGTCCTTTATAAAGTTCAAGTACAAGAAAAGGTGTCTTTTTCCAAGAAGATATCTACAGGTAACTTGTTTTGACTTTCATTAAAGTGCCTCTGTGATCAGAATCTGTCTCTCCATCCAGATCTCATTTATACTTTAGCCCTATAACTAAATATCATTAGAAATACTAAGAGAGGGAACAATGGGGACAGCTGTTTAAGTATTAAGCTTTAACATCAGGCAGCAGGTAACTCCCATGCCCCTCCACACAACCTTCTACATCTATGCAGACAAACATGGAAAGGTACCCACCCCATTCTTTGGAGAGCACTGCCACTAGGCAGTAGTTAAGATTTTCTTCTTCAATTAATACACCAAACATTTTCTTCAAAAAATTTATTTATGCAAAGCCAATAAGGAAGCGTTCTGTAAAAGTGAAAAGCTCATTTTACATATGATAAAAACATTTATGCATTTAGTCTAGGAAAAGTGAGGATTTTGAGTTGTCTAATAATTTACAGGAATCTGCAAGCTTGTTTTAAAAATAGACATTGGTATTCAATCACTTATTTTTCCCAATATCTAAATGCTGTACAGTTTGCTATAGCTCACTTCAAGGTGCCCCCCCACCCTCCCAAAAAAATAAAAAATAAATCAGGGATATCCCATTAAATTCAACTATACAAGCTTTGTGCTTGATAAAAATCAAGCATTGGTATAAGCATTACATTCAACTGAGAATATTTTGAATGTATATAGTAGTCAAAAAAAAAAAAACAACCAAAAACCAACAATAACATAATTTATATGAATGTCAGCCACTTCACAAACACCCAACATTCTTGTCTTCCTATTCCTAAGGAGAAAGTTATGTTCCTTGACCCTCCAGTTCTGACGCTGCTATATCTGGTTCTTCATCATTGTAAATGTTTTCAGCCTAGAGACACAAGTTATTGTATTACAAGTATCAAAAAGTGGTAGGCACATTTGATTAACAGTATTTTTTCAAATCTTAGATGTCATATGATTGCAGAACTGAGGAATAGACACTGAGAAAATAATCCTGCTCTCAAAGAAGTATCCCTTTCCCTGACTTTAAAGAGGGAAGTCAGTTTTAAGATTACGTAAAATGGCTAGACTAATCAACACTAATATTAAAAGTATGTATACGATATTTGAAATTGATGCACTTTAGGCTAATCGTAATCCATTTAGCTCTTTACCCAAAACATTTTGTCCCTATCTCATATCCAGTTTCAGTCTTACTTTAAAACTACTATCCCAGTAGTAATTTGCTTCCAAAAAACACACATCCTTCAATTTACAAGGAAAAAACTCAAGTTGATAGAAGGGGAGGTACATCTGTATATACATTTAGTTGATGTTATTTAAGCAGCTGTGGTTTTCTAGCTAAACTCATGTGGGGTCAATTTCTATCAAATGCATGTTGTTAGGCAATTGTCCTGCCTTTACAGGGACTCTGATAATGTAGGGCTTCCTCTTTTAATACTAAGATCCTATAACTAACTAGGATTAACGACTGCCAACATGACTCCCAGAAGTCTTAAAAATGCAGTTAACTTTGCAATTAGGAGTTCTAGAAGCCATTTGTAAAACAAAAGCTTAGATTCTGGATAGCATAGCATAACATAAACCTGCAATATCTGCAAACTCACTCTGAAGATCTATTTTTCCTTCTTTTGAAGATACTAAAATATCAACTTAGCTCCAGTTAACTCATCTGTTGAAATGGATATTTTTGGTATATATTAGAAATTAGCCATTTCTAGTTCAAGATATTCTTAATAAAATTCAAAATGATATACAAGTCATAACAGATAACTTTTTTTGTATGAATATTAGTCTTAATGTTCAGGTCATAAGTTAAATCCATTTAGTTAGAGGAAAAAGATTGCCTACATGAGACATGGTCTGTCTTTTTTACAGATTTTTTTAAGAGAAGGATAACCTCCTTTTTCATTTATATAATGAAGCAGAAAGCAATACAGAAATTAAGTTTGACACTCACCATTTGCCATATTTGCATTATGTTGTCCTCAGATACAGAGCAGATTACCCAGGGTTCGTTAGGGTTCCAACTAAAATCTGAAATCTTTGCAGTGTGTCCTCCATGAATAAACTGTTAAGAAGATCAAATTTAATGACCCAAGACATCTCTAGACAATTACTGAAGTAGTGAAATATTTTAATTTACTATTCTCATTAGCTAACAAAGTAAAACGAAGGTTTTACTATGTACAGTAGAACCTCAGAATTACAAACACCTAGGGAATGGAGGTTGTTCGAAACTCTGAACAAAACGTTATGGTTGTTCTTTCAAAAATTTACAACTGAACACTGACTTAATACAGCTTTGAAACTTTACTATGCAGTAGAAAAATGCTGCTTTCCCTTTATTATTTAGTAGTTTACGTTTAACATGGTACTGTCCTGTATTTGCCTTTCTCCCCCCTCCCCCGTGTCTCTGCTGCTGCCTATTCCAAATGAGGTGTGTGGGGCTGACTAGTCAGTTCTTAACTCTGGTGTTCGTAACTCTGAGGTTCTACTGTAAGTGGAGATCTGAGGTGCAGTTTTAAAGAAGCTGCCTTAACACATACTCCACAAACAACATGTAAATGCCGCCCACACACACACACTTCTGATCAGAACTGTTGAGGAGAAGGCAGGAAACACCATTTTAAAAAGCATAGTTGCTACCTGTGTTACTTGGCACAGCACCCTCCTGCCTTTTCATAAAGCTCTATATTAGGTTATTTTACTCAGAAGCAAGATGAAGAGTTCTTACTGGATGTGGAAGTTAACCAATAGCAACTGTTTTCCCACATAGTTGCACACAAAATATAGTGTGCTTGTAAATCATTTGATGGAGAGCCTAACATGAACTAAAGAAGCTATTTCACAATATTTCCTTTCCTCCTGTAAGGTTGCTATTAGCAACACAGCCATTTATAGCAGCATTAAGTTGCCAAGACCTCTAAATGACTATCTACCTAGGAAACATTAAACACTATACTTTGTTTCAATGATAACTTGAGGTAGTAGTTTAGTTTTGGTTTCTACATAGTTAAAAGTATAACCTACAGCTGTGTTTTCTAGACGCTACCTGACCTTGGATATAGGCAACATTGCAGACCTACTGCAGCAATGGCACTCTGCGCACCACTTATACAAAGGAGCATTAAGAACCACTGCCTTAAAACTCACTTAGCAGTTGAGAGCCACAATCAAGTACCGAGAGATAGTGGGGCGTTGAGGAATTTGCCTGAAGTAAAATCCTGGATTAGACAGATTATTGGTCTGGTCTGCTATTGCAGTTCTTTAGTCTAAGAATAAAGATATAAGTTCTTATGAGGCATCAACAGGTCTTCAAGCTAAAGACAGCAAATACGTACCAAAAGTTCAGGAGGCCCATCTTCTGCATCCTCTGCAGATTGCTCTTCTCCAATTTTACTGTAAAGAAAACAATGCTGTTTAAAGGAAGTAGATTTAAACCCTTAATCTTGAAGTAGTTAATCTCACTGAAGCAGGCAAGAAGCCAATTTGTGAATTAAGGTTTAAAAAAAAGTAATAGCTAATGGAGGGTTATGCCCTTCTCCTATCAGGGGCACTCGCGCTGAGAAAATATCTTTGTTTTCAATTCCTACTCTTGCTGCTTATTCTTCACCAGAAGTTTTAATCCTCAAACATGGGTCATCACAACTGGTTGCTGAAAAAATCAGATTCTGCAGATTAGATCAATAAAGGACCCTTGGGGCAGAGATCACTTATTACTAAAAAGATGAGGGGGAAAGACATGCAGAGTTGTTCAGAAGCTTTCCCCCCCCACCTTCTCCCCCCCCACCCAACATAACTGGCAAAGATCAGTAAAAAGACAGCATAGTATTCCTACACTGAAGTTTGCTAGTTTTTAAATAGAAAAAAGCTTATCCCTAAAAATAATTAAGCCTACAATTTAAGTACAAATGCAAAGCCTACTGCATATATTGGATACTTGTCTGCTACCTACACATAGGTTTTAAATAAAGGAATAGAATCACTCTTTACCTTAGATCCCATACGTTTAGCCGACGATCAGTACCACTTGAAGCAAGAATGGTTTCATTATGAGGAGACCAGTGAACCTGTAAGAAGAGAACATCTCTCAAAAATAGGAGTATGAAGTTACTGACTTTGCATGTATTCTGAACTAGTAACTTTAGATGTGACCAACATTGCCAATTTTAACTATCAGTGCTTGAACTGCTACGGCCATAACTGACCAACATTTTTAATAAAAAAGGACAAGTTTAGAGAAGTTAGACTCAAAAATATATAGACTACTTCTCACTTCATGTACCTCAGTATCAAGGCTTTCTTTCAATTCAGAGGATCTTAAGTTTCCTCATGGAAGAAATCCAACCACAAGAAATATACCATTAAAAACTCTTATACTACCATAAAGGGTCAGTATTATTTATTCCATTTTCTACAATGGTCAAGTGTGTCCGCAAGTCACTTTTAAACCTGCCTAATCATACATAAAATTAATAGTAATTGAATAAAGTCTCTCAGTTTTAAGGGAATATTTGGAATTAGAATTGCCTTCTGTTTGTGAATTTTTTTTTGGAAATACATATTTTAGGAACATGAGTCTGGGTCAAGCTAAGTCTTATACTCCAGACCTCTATCATACATATCTTAGGAGATTTTTTTGACTCAAACAAAAAGACAGCTTCCCTGTGCATATCTTCTCAGGTGCACATGAAAGCAATCTTCTGGATCTACACTGGCTGATTAGTTACCAGTTGGTTTTGGAGAGCTGATTGTCATCTATAAATCCATAAATGGCTTGTGATCTGCTACTGTTAAGAACCATCTCTCCCCGCATGTCATGCTACAACTAGTGCAGAGTGCTCAAAGCTGGAGAACCCTCTGAGAGGAAACTGGTGCCCAGGATTTCTTTGAGAGGGGTCCTCAACTTCAGAATCTATTCTTTACCCATCTGAAATAGCCCAAATCTGTTATCTTTCAGGGCACACTGAAGGATTTGGGGGAGGCACAGATACATAGACAAGAATTGTTTTAAATTCTACTGAGAAAAAGCTGCTGGGCTTTTATACTTGCCCTATAAATTTTATTTTAACCCTAGTGAGAGAGCATCTAATGAAGCATTTCCCATAAAACGCCAGTTTGTGTGCTGCTGTTAAAGCAGCAAGTTAGAAAGCCGGCAGACTTGTGAATATACTTTGGGAGAGAAGAGGAAAAGTCTACTCACATTACGTATGTTGCTTAAACTAAGGCTTAATAGCGGCATTAGTTCAGCTATTAGTTCTTGAAACAGATCTCAGTGATCAGATATATTTCAATTGATCACAATATCAGAATTCCAAACCAAACCATACTCCCACCTGATCCGGAGCTCTCAGCAATATGCACAACCTTATTCTAAAACCTTCAAGTTATTCATTTTTCTTGTGCCCACCTGAAAGATTTCATCCTTATGAGACTCAAAAGAATGAAGTTTTAATTTAAGGTTTCGCAGATCCCACAAAGCCACAGTCTGTGAGGGAAAGGGGGGGAAAAAAAAAAAGATACTTTTACTCCAAAAGCCTCTGAAGTTACTCAATTTTCAATTAATACATTTTAGCTACCCTTTGCACTTGTTTTATTGGCATTTGTGAATAGTGTCTAAGCACACTTTTAGGAGCATATACATTCAATTTGTATAGTATGTTAAAAATATACATAAGTAAAACACCTTGTCAGCAGAACCAGTTGCTAGAATGAACTCGCTGTAGGGATTGAAGGACAGGCAGTTGACCTCGGCTGTATGGGCATCTACAGAATGACTTGGCTTGGATGTAGTATTGGACCTCGTGTCCCAACTTTTTTGGATGAAGGGGTGGGAAAAAGGAAGAACACACAAAAAAAAAAAATATGCCAGTCAAAGGTGGTAGAAGGGAGAACCAGTTCTCACACACTAAACCCTGTTCAGCACTGACTTTTGCAGCAAGAGTTCTGTTCTTGAAACAAACCAGTCTGAAGACTTGCCTAAATGAACAGTTTGCATCCAGCAAGCTAGGGTGTGTGGATCTACAGCACACTAGTATGCTGCGCACTAACTTTTCATCTAAACAGGCCATAGTGGAATGAACACTGGTCACAAAGTTAGCACTCATTTCATACTACATAAAAACCGTACACATTAAATATCTGTACAAAGTTAACAAACGTTACTCTGGGACTAAAACATTCCTTCCAGGCTGAAAAGCCTGGTATACAAGTTTCAACATTTAAAAAAAAAAAAAAAAAAAAGCGGGGGTGGGGATTGAGAGTCATTTGTCATTCCATACTGGTACAATCCCATCTGTTTTATAACATACTAATCAGTTAGAAGATTTATAGCAGTCAGGTATTTCACTTTTTGGTAAAAACAAAGCATTCACTGTACAACCTCAAGAGTTTTCCCTTTTACCAAGGGGAATGATTAGTCTGTCAAGTAATTTGTTAGAGTAAACAGTTATGACTGGATTCCTCACATCTCTGAAAAAGTTCAGAGCAACTAGATTAATATTTAGTCAGTCCACCTGACCTGATGGTATTTGCAGCTTGCTTTTAAATAGAATTATCAGGTCAATTAAGGGGAAGGGTGATCCAGGGGTTAGGGCACCAGCATAAGACTTGGTGAGGCCTAGGTTCAATTTTCTGCTCCACTGCAGACTCCATGTGTGACCTTCGTTAAGTTACTTAGCCCCTCTGTGCCCCTTCTACTGTAATTCCTGGGTATTGTGAGGATAAATACATTAAGATTGAGGCACATAGCCTTAGCTAAACAAAAGGACTTGATGAGGGAACAGCAGTGACAGCCTCCCTTATAACTTTTAGCCTCTGTTGGTTAGGTTACTCACCTGGAATATGGAAGACCCAGGTTAAATTCCTCCTTCCGCATGATTATGGAGAATGGATTTGAGCAGGGTTTCCCAATTCTCAGGCAAGTGCCCTATCACTGGACTACAGAGTCATCCTCACTGTCTCTCTATGACAAACATTCATTGGGCTAAAGTGGAACACCTTCAACAGGCGCGACTGAGAAACACTCTCTCCCTACCCCTCAGTATATGCCATAACCAAGTGGCTGTTTTGTGTTCAGATCACACACGTGCCAGATCCGGCCCACAGGAGAGATAGGGAGGGCAACACAGATCTTCACCTGCTTTGAGAATTGCACTGGGGCTTAGGTGTCCGGATGCCTACCTAAGGCAGCAATGCACATATTTGGAGGTAGAAACTTAGGTGCTAAAGAACTTTTTACAGCAGAAATTTAGGCATCTAGTGATTTTAGACACCCACAAGATTACGTGGCAGCTGAGCAGGGGTTCTATGGATCACAGCAACATGGCTTTGCACCTACAATGATGGGACCATAAAAGAACCCAAAATCTGTAGGTCACAAGAGAAACTGTAGAATCAGGATTCCCATTCACCATTTGTTTAACCACAGATCTAGATTTACAATGTAGTCTTAGTAAGAAAAACAACACTGAACAGGTTTCAGAGCAGCAGCCATCTTAGTCTGTATCCACAAAAAGAACAGGAGTATTTGTGGCACCTTGGAGATGAACAAATGTATTTGAGCATAAGCTTTTGTGGGCTACAGCCCACTTCATCGAATGCATAGAATGGAACATATACTAACATTGAACAGTAAGACAAATAGAACAAAATGCACATTTAGGATTATTCCTATCCAGATTCCTAGAAATACAAGTAATGCTGTAAAATCTAGGTTATTTAACTTCACTTTAATGCAACAGAAGGCTAGAGTATTTTAGGATTGCAGGCCACCTCATAGCCTGAATAGATATCTTTCTTTAATTAGGCAGTGTGCAGTGCTTGTCTAGACTGTTGCATTGACAAGCAGGCAAATAATTATAAGTTCCAGAGAACTGCTCAGCTTCTCCCCACCCCCAACTCTCCTCCCAAACTTACATCATAAGCTTCTGATCATCAGCAACTGATCCAAATAAAGATTCATGAAGCAGATGCCATGCCACATCTTCTACTACTGCAGAATGTCCCGTAAAGATTGCTTTAGCATCAACAACTTTGCCTTCTTTTGGTCCTCCACTTATATCCCACAGACAAACAGTCTGCAGACAAAAGTCACATTTTAATACAATGTAATTTATTGTTCAGACTTGCTTTCCTGGTGTAAATCCTTCAGTACATGGATAGTAATTTAGTTGTATTCCAATTATGTTGTCTGATATCAGAATACAAGTTCAATATTCAGAGGTTTTAGAACTGTTAACATAGTTATGCCACACTGCTGGCATTCATGTGGTTTCTGTAACTTGAGACCATCATTCTTGTCTTTTAAAAAGCCTCATTTAATGAAGTTATACCCTTAAACACCACCATCATAACTGCCTATAAAAAGAAAACTTACTGAAGCCAAAGGAAGTCTATGATATTCCTACTGGGGTCTCTGCCCAGACTTTATTAGAATGTAGTTTTTGTAGCCCACCAAATACTTTGACCAGCCTCAGAGACACAAAACACTGCAGGGGGAGGAGGGCTAGCGTGCGTGCCTGTGTGGGAGACATTGATCACTGTCAGGGGGCAGGGTTGGATGTGCGTTCATGCCAACAAGCAAGAGACCGGTGTGGAGGGGTAGGGCTTTTTATTATGCACAAGGCAGGCTCTGTCCCTGCGGCAGAAATGTAGCAGCCTGCCTGCCTAGAAAAAGGCCAAGATTCTGTATGGGGATGATCCCAAAGTTTTAGAGCACCCAGTAGTAGTACAGAGGGCTGTATTTCCCAGTTCATGGTGTTCCAGTTAAATAAAAGAGACTTCGCCTCTAGTGATAGTTTTAAAAACTTCATCTGGATTGATTCTGATCAGTACATGTATGACTACATCCAGTATCTTTCAATAATCAGGAAGAGAGTTGTCAAGTTTCGTCCTGGAATATATGGCTATTGACCTGACACATTCAAGAAGTTTCTGTCACTGTATTTGCATGGAGCTGTGTAAGATTCTACTCAAACCAAAATCCTTCAAGTTTACTTCCCACTATTGTTCTTTCATCAGAAGATCGCACAGCTAAGCAAATGAGATAGTACACTGTTTTTAAATGGAGTAATTTAACGGTTTAAAGCATAACAATTTTTGAAAATAAAGACTTAAATTAAAAGAAAAAGCAACCATTGTTAATGTTGCTGTTGATGGTTAAATTGATCTCATTCTCTGAGGCAGCAACGTAGCAGCAGCCTGCCTGCCTAGTAACTATCAACTTCATGCTGTTAACACAGAAGGGGTAGAACCAATGGATTCAGTGCTAGAGGACAGATGTCTGTATCTCAGAGAAGATAACATCACAGAAGGCAATTGCACTGAGGAGCTTCTGCGAAATGACAGAGAAACAGCTGAGGAATATTTCATAGCCCCACCAGGTAACATCCCTTTACCAAAGCTACAGGAGCGAGCTACTTTTCTGCAAGTCTCCGAGTGAAAGTCAAGGTCTGGAATGCCGCTTCAGCTTTTAAGTCATCTGTGAGAATTGGCATATATGCAACCATGGCTGTGGAGTATCTTGATGCAAGTGTCTAATCCCAAGAATAACACCCTCACATAATTATTTGCTTTTTCTTCCTTCCTTTCTTCTGTAAGATTACTCTGAAATTAAAGGCTTGGTGTATTTTTCCAGTATTAAAAAAAACCAACCAAAAAAACCAACACACATTGGGAACAGTTAACTAACAATGGGAACATTAACATTCTCAGTCAATTCCCCCAGGAGCATAAAACCTGTAAAAGTTTTAAGGCCCCTACATTGCCGGAATTATGTAAAGCCTTATAAATGACAGTCAGGGAATCAGCTAAGAAGATCTATGTACTTTCTTATTTTTTTTCCTGTGCCAAAGTGGCACAATAGAGTTAGATTACAGCTCAGGATTTATTTGACTTACCCATTAAAAAAAGACTGAGGGCAAATAAAACATTTACCAAGCAGTCAATAAAATGTCAGGACAATCAGAACCAAGCACTTCCCAAAGTACCCAGCCAGGTCCAGGACAATGATTAGCAAAACTGTATGACTTGTGTGTGAAAATCTGAGCAATTTAAAATGAAATTCTACTTTTTTTTTTTTTTGGCTGTTTGGTGTTCTGTAATGTAATTTAACTGGAATGCAGGGTATTAGCTACAGTGTTTGCAACTTTCATGTTTTAGGAAATGCTGAATAGTTTAGTGACTTTTTTCTGTATTGTAGTTTAAATAAATTACCAAAACAATTGAAACTGGTGTGATTATATTACACTATTTTGATAGATAAAATATGCAGAATTTTTAAAAGCAGAATTTTTTAATTTTTGTGTGTGAAGCATTCCCCCAGGAGTAGCTATTACAGGATAGGCATTAACTAGCTGTAGAGGTGTCGCAACCTCCTTCTGTTAAGGATGATGTGTCATGGTAAGCGGGCTTTCAGGGTATAAAGGATAGAAACATGAACATCTAAAATTTAAAATATGAAGACATTTTGATGCACGCTGGATGGAGAAGACCAGTGGAAGAGATTTTATGGAGAAAAATACTATTAGGCCATGTGAATCAGCAACTCTTCCTTTTGTTTTGTATTAACAAAGGAGGAAGATAGTTTCTTACATGATCATCAGATGCACTGAGAAGGTGTCCACTCAAATTGGAATTCCATGATAAACCGTAGCCTTCTTTTTGGTGTCCTCTTAGCCTAAGGTCAGGATTACATTCTCCACTTGGGTCTGAAAAAGAACCAAACCATTGTTTAGCTCTTAGAGCTCCTTTAAACAATATGAATATGATGGATTATAATTGATCGAATTTTTATTTTTTGCATTGCAAAATAAAATAAAACTGCAAAATTGTCTGCATATGCTTGCTACAAGGAGAAACAGGATTTGCTTTTCAATTTCGTGTTCAGAGTAGGTTACAAGACACTTGATGATAGCCAAAGATAGCCACAGAGGGTCCTCCTGCTCTATCACCTCAAGTCTGAAATACCTAGACAAAATTCCTGAGCTTAATTACCCCAAGCATATTCTAACTAATCCAAATTGTTTTTAACTAGCACGGGAGTTAAGGTACCTTCAGACACGTAGTGCTTTTGCATCACAATACAATAAACCAGACTACTGTCAGACTCATGTTATTACACTTTGTTTCTAGACTACATGTGTTATACTAGAGAAGATACTGTATACAAATTCAAGCAGTTTGACCCACCTGGTTTAGATGGATGTTTGGTGTAATCAAAAACCAGCACATCAGAGGAAGGTGTTTTTGTAGCAATGATGCACGGGTTCTGGGGCATGTAGCGAGCACGATTTACTTCACCTTCATGGTTAATTTTAATTTCAGTTTCAATTTTACCAGTTACAGATCCAAAGCCACCAAATTCTAGATTTTTTTTTAAATACATATAAAAAAATGTTTTTGGTTAAAACCATGTGAACTATTTCAAGTGTGTTAAGCCAGTGTTCTCAGGCTTTTCATAATCGCAAGTTGTTTAATGTAGTAATACAAGTCACATGGAAGATTAAATACATTACACCCCTTTAATATAAAATCTTAAAAGTGATCTTATCTTGATAGCAGCGAAGTATTCTTAAACTGAACAGGTCATCACAATAAGTAGTGACCAGCCGTAACACCTTCAGAGGGGTACATCTCTTGCTCAAGCTAGTCTACCAGTTTGCTTTAGTGTCACAAATGAAAGAGCTAATGAAGTCAACATTTATGTCTAATACAGTAACTCTTCACTTAACATCCTCCCGCTTAATGTTGTTTCGAAGTTACGTCACTGCTCCATTAGGGAACATGCTCGTTTAAAGTTGTGCAATGCTCCCTTAGAACATCACTTGGCTGCCTGCTCTGTCCACTGCTTGTAAGATTCTGTCAAAGAGCAGCGACTTTGCAAGGGAGCATTGAACAAGTTCCTCTTCTCCACCTCCTCCCTCTCCCTCCCAGAAAGTCCTAAGCGCCGTCAAACAGCTGTTTGGTGGCAGGGAAGTGCTGGGAAAGAGGGGAGGAGCAGGGACGTGGCATGCTCCAGAGAGGAGGTGGAGTGGGGGTGGGAAGAAGCGGGCCTGGAGCATCCCCTGGCAAAGTCGGCACCTGTTCTTCTGGGGGAAAGCTGTCGCTGTTGCTGTGCAAGGCACTTCCTAGCGTCCTCGCCAGCAGCGGGCTGTGCCTGAGTGGGTAAGCCAGGGGCACCTCTCAACCACAGTACGGTACAGTACATAATGCCTTTTGTCTGCCCCCCAAAAATGTCCTTGGAACCTAACCCCCCCACATTTACATTTAATCTTATGGGGAAATTGGATTAATTTAACGCCATTTCACTTAAAATTGCTTTTTTCAGGAACATAACTACAATGTTAAGTGAGGAGTTACCATAGAAGACTTTTGCAGGAGGTTCTCCAATACTGACTTAACGTGAATTGTTATCAGCTTTCAGATTTTTTTTTAAAAAGGGTCAGTGTAAAATATATTAAGGCTCTAGAATAGTGGTTCTTAACCTTTACTGCAGTCTGCACCCCTTTGGTTCTCAAAATATGTTCTTGCACCCCTTATCAAAAATCGTTGAAGTAGGTCAGTTCTTTAAACCTAGACATATTTGTTGTTTGTATATTACAGTAATGGTTAAAAAACGTATGCTGTTAATAAATACATAGATTTGATGAAACAAAGTAGTTGTACTTATGTGCCTGTGCTTAATTTGTGTTTTCGACGATTTACCTTCTAAAAAAAGCTGGCATGTCTCACACCCCCAGAAAGGGAATCACACACCCCTTAGGGGGTGTGTGCACCCCAGCTCTAGAATTACACTATATACCAGTGGCACACGTATCCATGGGGGTATGCAGAGGTCTTCCAGGGGGTACATCAACTCATCTAGATATTTGCCTAGTTTTATAACAGGCTACATAAAATGCACTAGCGAGGTTAGTACAAACTAAAATACAGACACTGACTTGTGTATACCGCTCTATATACTAGAGATGGAAAGGTAAGTAAAATATTTATATTCCAATAGATTTACTTTATAAATTATATGGTAAAGATAAGAAAATAATCAATTTTTCAGTTACAGTGTTCTGTGATACTTTTGTATTTTTACGTCTGATTTTGTAAGCAAGTAGTCTTTTAAGGGAGGTGAAATTTGGGTTATGCAAGACAAATCAGTCTCCTGAAAGGCACACAGTAGTCTGGAAAGGTTGAGAGTCACTGTTATATACAATAAACACGTTTAGTATACAAATAGACTCTTAAAAATATTTTTAAAGTTAAAGTTAGAACGCAATTAAACAAGATATGTACTGTTTAACACTGCTGCTAGAACACCACAATCTAAAAATCCCTGCAATACTCACCTCCCTTCTCACTATCATAGTGAGAAGCATCAAACTGAGCATCATCATTAGGAATCTGGACCCTTGCAACAACCAAATGGTTTTGTTCATCGGAGGTATGTGTTCCCAACACTAGCCAATGAAGGGCATAATCCTTTCCTTCAGGCCTGTTCAATAAAACAGACGGTCTTACAAAAAGTTGAACACAGTTATACTATACTTGTAAATATTTTTTAGAGGCAAAGTTCTTCTGTATCATCTCAGTTTCTATGGGAGACTACAGATTAATTGGGGAAAAAACTTTCCCCTACCATATTAGGCATATCAACATATATATTTACAAGTTGAACTCCAGGTGTTCTTGACATCAGTAAATCTGACAAGAACATCTTTAACAAAACTGACATCCGTCTTTTAGAGCGTTTGTCACTATTGCTTGAATAGTATAAATAAGACTTCTATGCGCACATACTTTAAGTGGAGGCATTTTGACATCAGCCCCTGCTATGGTAAACCCATGTTAATGGAGGTAAAGGCTTTTGACATTGAACAGATTTTCCAGTTTCGGTACTCCAAGCAGTGAGCTCTTTATTCTGCGGTGAAGCAAGAGGAATAGTTCAGATACTGAAGACAGGACTGACTGCTTAAATAGAGATTATGTCCCTCTTGCCAGCTTCTACTTTTACTGGCACCCTAAAAGTTTATCCCCAACACGGCACAGGAGGGTTTACGCAGGTAAGGGGAGTGCAGGCAGCAGTCTCACCTCGTCACATCAGGCAGCCACTGCACCGTGAGGCTGGGCCACTCGAGGGCGTGGGTCATCACCAGGTCATACAGGAACGGGGTGTTCTTCTTCCAGATTTTGTACTCTTCGTTGATGACACGCTCCTCCACGGTGTCCTCGAACACTGCACGGACGGACGGGCGGACAGACAGACAGGCAGAGGCGCGCTAGGCGGGCGGCTCCGAGGAGCCGGGGCGGGTGGGGGAGGCGGAAACACCCGCGGCCTCGCGGTTTATTTTTTCTCCCCCTAAGCCGACGCCCGCTCGCGGCGAGACCCAGCGGCGGCTCCGCCCGGCCACGCGCTCCCCTCCTCGCGAGCTGCGGGCCGCTCAGCCCCCGCGGCACCGGGATCGCCCCGCCCCGCCGCCCGCCCCGAGAGACCCGGAGCCGAGAGACGCCCCCACCCCGCCTTGCCCGGGGAGAAGAAACCCGCCGACCCCCGACCCTCCAGCCCGAACAGGCACCGGCCGGGCCCCGCCGTCTCTTACTCTCTTTATTCGCCATTTTGTGCGTGGGGCTCCCTCCCGCGCTGCGCTCCCCTCCCCCCGGCGGAGCTGGCGCCGCCGTCTCCGCCGCGGATGAAGCGGCCGCTCGCGCGCCGGCCCTGGGGGTTCCAGACGGCCTCGTTCTCCCTTCAAACCGTTGGCTTGGACTCCGAGAGACTCGCCAACCCGCGCCGCCGCCAGAGCGCGTGCGCAGCGACCCGGCTGCGCTCCCGGGTCAGACCGCCACGACCCCGAGGCAGCGCCCAATGAACGGGGGCGGCGAGGCTGAGGCGGGCCGCAGCTCAACAAGCCCGGCCCCCGGCCTCCACCTCTTCCGGGGCTCGCTCAGGCAGCCGGGCATATGAGCGCATGCGCAGGAGGAGAGCGCCGAACAGCGGGGGGCGGGGCAAAGGACGGGTGGGGAGGTGCCAAGCGGCCCAGCAAGCCCCTCCCCCCGCCTGACGCGACAAAATAAACCACGGGCCCCCACCCCGCCCACTAGCAGTGACGTCAGCGCTCTTCGGGCCCCAGGGCAGCTGAGAGGCCGGAATGCCCAGGCGGCTGCTTCCCCCCCCCCCTTAGTAGCCGTTCCCCACGCCACGTGCTCATGGGCCAGCGCCCCGCCCCCGCAGAGCGGGAGGTTGGCGTAGAAATCATCCGTTTCCTTAAACAGAGACAAGGGGGGTTGGGGGGGGGGCGTATTTTGCTTGACTCCCTGGTTTGTGACTTTTCAGGCCTGGCGGATAAAGGTTTTTATCCCCGCCCTGAAAGAGAAACGTCTCTTTCAAACCAGGCACTCAAGCCCTGAGCGCAAAGAGCCTCAAAGACTCTGCCCAGGGGGGCTGCCAGTGAAACACAGGGGTGAGACTCACTAGTTTTAGGGAGAGGTTTCACAATAGCAGCCGTGTTAGTCTGTGTCCGCAAAAAGAACAGGAGGACTTGTGGCACCTTAGAGACTAACCAATTTATTTGAGCATGAGCTTTCCTGAGCTACAGCTCACTTCATCGGATGCATTCAGGGAGAGTTGGCAACGGTGTATATCAGCATTACAGGTCAGCCTGCCAATACCAGCACTCAGGGTTGTTCAGACAGGGCCTGCAACAAGTAAAACCAGCTTGATTCATATCTCAGCGACACCCACTGAACATTCTCTAAAATGGAGAGATGTGAGCGTCCTCATACGTTTATCAGGAATTTTAAGTTTGGCAAAAAACCCTCCTCTTTTCTGCTACAAAGAAGCCAGTATAGTTCAAATCATTCTACAATATAAGCAAAATCTAGGGTCCTGTTTTAATAATCCGCTACTCCAATTAGACAAAGCACCAACAGGAATGTATACGGCTACAGTTCTCAAACACTACAGTGTCTACAAGTTCCAGGCACAGTTCCAAAACACATCCACTCACATATAACGTTTTCCCCAGATATTAATTATACTAATTTTCTATAATGGAATATAACCCTACATCCACATCATACACACTACTGTAATAATCTTTGTACAAAGTATGTCTCATAAGTTATCATTTGAAAACTCATAATTTGCTGGTTAGTATTTTCCTGGTAAAATATGTGTGGTAACATTGCATGAGAAGTTACACAGTTCCTCTTTATGATATTTTTAACACATGTTCCAAACCCTACAGCTCTGCCTAGGCAGAAATCAGATCTGTTCTAAACAAAGGAAGGAATCTCTGCTTGCCTTAATTTGCATTTAAGCAGTAAACAGTCATCAAGTAGGAGAGAAAACGAAGTTCAAACAGGTGGGAAAAAACCCAGCAGGGACTATCCTTATACAGAGACTCTTTGTCTCCTAGGTTTCAGTTGGAAATGTGGGGGACAAGAGGGGGACTGAAACTATAAATAGGAGGGGCAAACACCCCAAAGGAGCCTCCTCCTCTCTCCCTGCCCACCTCAATCTTTGTACCTGAGAAGATAAAAGGAACAGTCATTGGACCATAGGGGAGGGGTTCTGACCTGAGAGTGTGATCAGTAACCTGTTGGAGTATGTGGTGAGACAGTTTGCTTTGCAACTAAGATAAGTTCTTAAATGTTAGTAAGTGTTTTATTCTTCTTGTAACCATTTCTGACTTTCATGGCTTATTACTTGTATACCTTAAAATTATCTGTTTGTAGTTAACAAATTTGTTTTACTTAATCCAGTATGTTTAAATTAGGTTATAAACTGGCATATTATTCCCTTAAAGGAATAATGGACTTAATATATTTGCTCTGCCTAGGAGAGGGCTGGGCAGTACAAGACATACATTTCTGGGGGAAGATCTGGGATGGGGGTGTGTGTTGGGGTCACCCTGCAGTATTACAAAGGCTGGTGAGAGTTCAGGTACAGGTGGCAGGCTGCAGTTATACACAGGCACTCAGGGTGTGGCTTGTATGCTGGAAAGCTGTTTGACTGGCCCAGGGTGGGAGCTAACACAGCAAGGCATTGTAAGACCCCCAAGGTTGCAGAGCTGGGGTGACACAGCCCCCCACTAGTCTGGATTGTGCCTCTAATATGTCAAATGTACATACTACTGGAATACACAACCACCCCAAAAACTGTTCTAGTCACTTAGAAGGACAGAGGGGAAAAACAACAAATTACAGTGTTATAGATCCCTGTGTAAAATCATCACATTAGTAAAATGCACAGATATAAGGCAAACTTAACAAATACAGAATTGTCAACCATCAACTCAAAGTAGAAAAAATCCAAAAGTAATATAATAATATCTAACTCTTATATAGCCCTTTTCAGCTGTAGATCTCAGTGTAAACACAGAGAGGAGGAACTATATCATCAATTACAGGATAAATTAAAACAAAAGGATACTTCCTACAGCAATGTCCAAAACACAAGAAAATGCAAGAAAGATATTCCCTCCAATTATCAGAAATAGTACTAGATTTCCCATTTAAAAAGTCATGAGGAAAAGCTTGGAGAGAGGAAAAAGATAGCAGAGCAACATGCTGTTTAGTAATCTCTCAGGGAATGAGAAATAGATAGTAACACTTATAGCATGCTAATAAACTGAGTTAATTAAATTGAGAAAGTGTAGTAGGACTGGCAACAAAAAGGGAAAGGGGGATGGGAGATGTAGAGGGAAGGACTGCAATCTTGTGCAATTTAGGACTCTGGCCTGTAGGTGGTAGCACTCTGGCACTGATGAGACAGCCCGAGCAGCACCTAAGAGGATCAAAGAAGTAAGGAGAATTCTCTTCTCAATTACTTGTGAAAGATGCACAGTATGAAGGGGAATAACTTGTCTCTTTTTCATCCCACTATAGCCCGTGCTGATGTGGGCTGTCTCCAATATAATGTTTGTAGAAAATGAAACATTTTGGCTTTGGGACTGAAGCAGAGTCCTGGGAGATCAAAATTCAGTTGGACAGTTTCTCTGCAGTTGAAACCACCTTTTGTTTGACAAAAAGAAATAATGCTTTGCATGTATGCAGCAATCAGTAAGCTCAAAATTACTTTCCAAAAATAAATATTAGACCCACTTTTCAAGTATGGAAACTGGTAAAAGATTAGAGTGGTCACTGTTAAAAAGTTAATATTTTCCAACAGAGGTATTGGAAAATATCAGGTTTCAGAGTAACAGCCGTGTTAGTCTGTATTAGCAAAAAGAAAAGGAGTACTTGTGGCACCTTAGAGACTAATAAATTGGTTAGTCTCTAAGGTGCCACAAGTACTCCTTTTCTTTTTGGAAAATATCAGTTTTCCTGCACTGAAATAACTGTTGGAATGGTGTGTTAGAGTAATAAAGCTGTCACACAGGAATGTTAGTAAAAGTCTGAACTTCATTCCTTGGCCCCAGTTACATGATATGGGTCAGGTTTACAAAAAGTATAATATGCCCCTGTCAGATAGCATGGTCAGTAACATTCATTGACTCCTGTAGTTATTGTTGTATCTTACTTTTTTATAAAAATCAATGCAAATGAAACCTAACACTAACCAAATAAATTATAACCACCGCAGGCTAACGTAGCCAGTAAATAAAATATATTATTGCCCCTTTTTGGCCTGAGCAGTTAGCTGATATTTGGGGCCATGCTGGGCTGTTTTCATTAGGAGGAGAAATTGATTAAAAGAGTCAGGATTTCTTTGGTGCTACCTTGTTTATTTACAAAGAATGTACAAAGTCCTGTTTCCCAGAACTGAACATTGATCAGCTTTAACCAAGTCAGTAATTGATGGCATTCATTAACATAATAATGCAAACAAAGACATCTAGGACGGACATGATGATAGACTAATGGAATGCTCCTGACAGATCAGAGGATTATTCTGCCTCTTATTGGACATTTCTCAGTACCAGTCTCTGAATTTCATTGGTTTTCTGATCACATGACACTTTCTCAGAACAGTTCTTGCTCCAGTGCCTCACTGAAACTTGCTAAGTTTGAGCAATAAGAGTCACCAGCTTGCTAAGATTCATCAAACTGAGCCTCACAGGAGGTTTGAGTGATGGCTAAATTAAGGCCAGGTCTGCACTATAAACGATGTCTCTCAGGGGTGTGAAAAATCCAGTGTAGACAGTACTATATTGATGGGAGGGCTTCTCCTGTTGACATAGTTACTGCCTCTCACAAAGGTGGAGTAGTACCTATATCAGTGGGAGAAGCCCTCCTGTCGGCATAGGTAGCATCTTCACTGAAGTGCTGCTGCAGCATTTTAAGTGTAGACCTGCCCTAAGTCTGTAGTGATGTTGCTTAATCCTTGCTAGAATTGGGGCTAGGACAAGGTTAGAGGGGAGAGGGGGATGTGCAGCCAAATTGTCTGAGAACCGGAACTTGCTCTGGATTCTAGATTTGCTATCTAATGGACTTTCTGTGGTTCAGCAGACTGGAGCCCATACCAGGAGAGGCGGGGGGGTGAGGAGAGGGAAGGCACAGAGGCAACTAGAAGCTACCAAAAGTTGTAGTATGGGAACCAAGAAGCAGTACTGGGTTTTACAATGGCGCCAATGGTGCCATCGCACTGGGCCCATGTTCAAAAGGGCCCCATTATGGTTGCTAGGCAGGAGCACTGGAAGCTCCCTAGAAGTGGGAGGGCCACTGGCACCTGGACCATGCTCCCCCCGCTCCATCTTGAGGAGTCTCTGCTCGGTCTCTTCCCCCCACCCCCGACCCTGCCCTTGCTCCACCCCTTCCCGCCCCCGCTCTGCCTCTTGCTGCGAGGCCTCGTCTGCTGCTCGCTCGTCTCTGCCCTCTTTCCTCCCCCCCCAACTCACTCTTAAGGCAGGAAA